CACAGGCTGCTCCGGGCTCACACGACACCGCTGGGGCGAGGGAGGACAAGGGCTGGCAGGCTAAGGGTTAAGGACACCCAGACCAGCATCAACGGGCACAGGGGCTGGGGAGGCTGCCCGGCCGGCGGGGCTGGCTGGTCCAAGTCCCCGCTCCCCCAGGCTGGATTTGGTTCACGCTGGACTCACCACTATGGCCGTGGTGATGCCCCCGCACATGACGATGTTCCTGGGGTCGCAGCGGATGCCCCCGTCTCTCCTCTCTAGGTAGCGGGCCACCCTCTGGGGGACAGCGGTGGTGACGTACTCCATGTTATACGCCCCTTGGGAGAAGGACCCAGCCCAGCGTCAGGGACAGACTCTGCCGCTTAACTGCAAAGAGCAAGGACCCTCCCTCTCCTCCTGGCAGAGCGCCCCACTCTGTGCCACGCAGCCCCCACCACCGCCACAGGCAAAATTCATTGGATCAGCCATGGGGAAGGCCCCCCAGTCAATGGGCCAGTGGGGAACGCAGATGGGGCCCAGTCCACTGCCTCCCCCACCCCACAGCTGGCACCAATGGCCCCTCTCTCTGAAGGTTTCAGCAGCGACTCCAGGGAGACCCAGCTCCCAGGGCGAGGTCTATCCCGACGGAGGCTGCAGTGCTCAGGTACCGGCACTGGAGCTGTGCAGCTCCTGCAGGATGCGGCTGGCTCGCTGCTTGGCGTCCCGTGGCATGGAGTCAGCATGCAGCAGCTCTGGGTAAGCGCAGATGGCAGCCACCTGTAACGGCGTAGCCCAGAGACAGTCAGCGCACGGGGTGGAACGGAGCGAAGGTGATTGACAGCCCAGCGCCCCAATAGCCAAACACCCCTTTCCCTGCATTCAGCCCCCAGCCCTCCCAAGCAGCTGCCCCCTGCAATCAGGGGCGGATCAGCCAGCAAGGGAGGGTGGGACATTCAACCCTTAGACCGGACCCAGCTCCCTGCTACCCCCCCATGAAAGGTGCCCCATTCCCTCCCCTCCCCCATGGTGAGGTTATCCGGGCACCCCCAGCTCGGGGCTAGGAAGCCCCTGCCATGGTAGAGTATTGCGTGGGGAGGGCTGGGAATGGTCTGTCGGATCTGTAGGACTGAAGCAGGGCAGGGCTGCACGCGACGGGATTTGCTCCCCAGTGGCTAAGGGTTGAAATGGTCCTGGGTGGGGGGTCACGTGAGGTAAGCGTCTGGGCTGGTACCAATGGGTCATTCGGGCCTGGCTAGGACCAGCTCCCGCCTGCGCCGGTCCGGGAAAGCCAAAGGGGGCCTGGGCCAGGAGGGAGGCGATTCCCCCACCTGGCTGCAGGACCGCAGAGCCAGGGCTGGGAACAAGAGCTGCCGCAGCTCCCCCCAGGGACGGACAGACAGAGACGGTGCCGAACCGAGTGACAGCAGCTTGGCAAGGTGGAGCCCTTCACCGGCTCGCTGCGGACCTAAGGACTTGCCCCATGGCTAATACATCCTGCTCTGTTCGGGGGGGTCGCTGCAAACCCTGGCTGGCGTGCATCAGTCCCTGGCCCCCCACGGGGAAGCAAGCCGCAGCGCCTGGCCTGTTGTAGGGCGGCAGGGGATGCCCGAGCTGCGGCCAGCTCCAGGACAGCTGATCTTACGCCCTCCCTGCTCTGAGGACAGCACAGCAGGGGAGCGTGCCCTGCCGAGGGGCTCCGTGCACGGCTGGATGGGGGTGACCTTCGGCTAGCATCCCGCTAGGCGTAGGGCAGCGGCCGGCCGGATTGGCCCCAGGGCTTTGCCCCAGTCAAAATCACTATCCATCCCAACTCCTGCCCAGCGCACCTGCAGCGCAGCGCCGGCTGTAAAGCCACACAGCCCCTCGCCCTATGGCGCGTGAGCGCCGCCCAGTGGCCAGAGTAGGGCGTCCAAGGGAGGGTTTGCTCAGGCTATGACAGGGGCGGGGAAACTTTTAGGCCTGAGGGCCGCATCAGGTTTCCAAAATTGTATGGAGGGCCGGTTAGGTAGGGTTACCATACGTCCT